CTGCACCCTTTCCTTTTTTACTTTCAAATCATGGAGCTCATAAACTTGGGACAACAGAAAATGATGAACTATTGAAGGTCATTAGAAGAGTTTCTGTGAAAGGGAGATAACTTTTGGTATACTGGAATAACATAAACTGGTAGGACATGTCAGTTCCTGAATGTTTCATGCACAGTACTAGTATTTAGTGGGAGACACAGTAAAGTATCATTATTAAATTAATCTACGAATGAATTCAATTAATATGACAAAATTGTACATATCTTCATAGGATAGTATTTTTCCATCATAAAACTGAGCATGTTGTAAAATTCCTGATAATGTGACATGACTTATCTCTAAAATTGTAACGAGAATGCATACAATATTTTCAATAAAACGCTTGAGGGATGATTAAAACATAACTTGTAAGCTGTATGATCATGAACATTAATCGACGGGAAAAAATTTCTTTCAAATGAATAGTTTTCTATTATCTGATTAAAAGACAAGAAAGTGGACATTTTTTGAAAATGACAGTTCTAAAATTGATTATGGTGCAAAAATAATTCATTAAGAAAAAGTAAAAAAAGCATGCAGGTTTTTAATTTTTGAAAAAGTTCAGCGCTCTAATTATTTTAATTTGTTAATTGTATAAAAAGAAGCTACTTTTTTTTTCTTTTTTTTTTTTTTAAAGTTCGTTGCCCTTATATCTGTATCGCAGATCAAAGTTAATCTACAGATTGTAGAATTTTAAAAATGCATGTGACTCTTCTGGTATCAACATGGTGGCTTAAATGTAAATGGAGTCTACATAATTTATTGATGGGATTCTCTCATCTAAGCTTAAAAACAATTTTTTAAAAAAAATTTCTAACAGGTAATTGTTCAACAAAAAAGTAGGTTAAGAAATCAAAATGGAATTTTTCCTCTCTTCATTCGAAAACGTACTGGAGCACTAAGACAGGTGTAGTCAGTGATAACTATGGACAGTGAAACCATGTCTAATCCGACATGCACTGGGAGAAAAAAATTGTGTAGAATTTACTTGCGATAAAAATGACATGCCACTAAACTGGCCATAACTTTTAATGCATATCTTTCTGTGTAATTTAATTATCTTATCATTAGAAATATTTGAACAATTTTATAAATATTTTTTCAAAATTCAATAGTTATCATTTTTTAAAGGAAAAAAAAACTGTATCGTGAGACATTGACGAGTTATTAGAAATAAAAATTCATCACTATATAATGCACTACATTGTATTTATATTTTTGTGAACACGATTAAAACATAAAATGTAAAATGAATTCGGATATACAGCTATATGCACAGCTGAATATTGAGAACACAACATGTTTTTAAAAGTATATCTCAAAATTTCACAAACTGGGTCAGATATTGGAGATCATAAAATCGATCAGCCTTTTTTATGGTATTAATCTGCAGCACTTTATTGTAAAACTGTATTTTGTGTTTGCTACTTTTTACTCTTTTCGATCAATTCTTGAATACAACTTGTTCTGCACACATTAAATTTTTCCCACCTTGTTAAAATCTACCTTAACTGTTACAATTCTCCAACACTAATTAGATCTAGACGAAAATCTAACTTAAGTTCGAAATACCTTTAAACCTCAATTTAAGGACATATGCAACGTAGTTTAAACTTTATTGTCTTTTCCCCTGGAGTTGAAGAGTTCCAATACTTGAAGGACCTGTGTGCTACTCTTTTAATGTCTATATATGGTGCTTTACAATTCTTATAAAACAAATTGGGATGAAAAAACGTTTAGAATGTATGTTTAATAATTAATATGCCCCTGGATCGAAAGATCCTGGGGGTATATTGTTTTGTCCTGTCTGTCTGTTTGTCTGTTTGTTTGTCTGTCTGTTGTCAACTTTAACCTAGCCCATAACTATTGCGCTGTCAAAGGTAAGGCTTTAATATTTGACATGAGTGTTCATTATGACAAGACCTTTTCATTGGTACAGAAATTTTTGATCAAGTGACCTCAACTATGACCTTTGACCTACATTTGAAAAACTTTAACATTGGCCATAACTATTGCACTGTAGTCTATGTCCCACTCCAGAACTGTGTTACCATCGGGGGCATAGTGTTTCACAAACACATCTTGTTGTATATTTTTCTTTGAATTATAGAAGAATTTTCAATTGATATCTATTCAAAACCCCTGATAATGCATGCTGTTTTTTTTGTCTATGAACATCTGATGGTGCTATAATTTTAAATTAAGAATATCTTAAAAAATTATCAGTAGGTAAGGTACGTTGCGTATGTCCTTAACACAATCCAAATACATAGCAAATGATATCATTCTATTTTTGAAGCAATGAAATATTGAAATTAGTCACACTGTCCTGCCTTTGACTTAAAAAAGTCATATGGTTTTTAAATAAGCAACACACTCAAATATAATAAATGTGTTTTATGAAATTTATCTCCATTTGCTATTACGTTGACGGCAAATGGAATGCTTAACTCACTACTTTAGTCAAATGAAATAAAAGCCCAATAACTGAGCGAGCATTAGTGGGTATTTGTGAAAAGATTGCGACAGTCAGTAAGCCTCTACGGTATATTAAAAACTAGAGAGTAGAGTTTCAACAAAAGTTAATTACAATTAAGATAGTTACTCGGGGAAATTTACCAAATTGGTATCATCATTCAAAAGGTAGCGCCATAGAACACAAAGTGAACACGGTTTTCCATTGGGAGAAAACAGTTCTCTTCAATAAAGCTAGACTCTCCAGGTCGGACATTGTTATGTGCGTGCAATATCGCTATGTGAAAACATTTGCATCGTTTTTCATGTTCATTTTCAGCACTTAAACAATAATTAATCCCATTTCCAGCACTTTCTCGCCGAAAGGTCTACTAACTAATACAAAGTTCAAATAAACAAGAAATTCAATAAATCTAGATTGCCGTAAAACCGTACTCCCATCTGCCGTAGCAGGGAATGTTTTTAGGAAAAAAACGTCATGTTTGCCTCCTTGCTCTGGGATGCTGTAATCCAATTGAGACGCATTTTAATCACATTAAACTCATTTCATTTGTTATTCCCGGATGTGTTTTTATTCATGAAATTCATTCCGTAATTACAATGATCTTTTGCGGTTTCAGTCATTCATTTTAGCTAAATATAATCATCAAATTTATCATATTCGCGTCTAAAGGGTATACCAGATGAAAACATTTTCCCAGTTTCTTTTTAGAGTTATTTAATGATTTTTTACTCAATTTATGAAATTATATCATTAACATATTTGTGGATAACACAATGAACAACAAAAGGAATAAAGATACCAAAGATTTAAAACATTTTGCAATAATGTAAAACATATTAATACATGTATTTTAGATTTAAAAAAATATATCTATTCGTCTAATTTTTTCTGAGATTTATCTAAAAACCTAGAATCATTGCATGCTACAAATATTTTCATAAAATTAAAAAAAATATTGATTTGACCTTTCTTTTTCTGCAAGATTAATAAAAATTAAAGTTCACCTCCAACAAAAATTTATCGTAAGTGTAGCATGAAAGCGTCAAGGATTACAAAATTTAAAATTCAAATTCGAAATCAGTTACATTCATACAGCTCAATGCGGAACTCTAATGAAAAGAAACTATCTTTCGGGTAGGTAAAATTCAATGTTGACAGCAACATATTTTCCCCGTGGGACTTAATAAAATCACCATCATTTCAAAATGTCTCTTTTACGAGCTTCAACCTCCAACAAAACGGGTTTTAATCTTGAACGGATCATATATTCATTTCACCCCTATGTGAAGTAGTGTCGTTCATAATACGATAATTGCAGCGAGAAATCGCACAAAGACTGCACATCCACGGACTTAATAAAAATAAATCCGATTTGAATATCACCCTTGTACCTTTGAAATTAATGTATTTAAACTAAACATATGGCAGAGCAATTTAAAACGCGAAAAGTGTGGGATTTTAATGTTACTACGGGGAGGAGCGTTCGCCACCGAGCACATGTTTGTGTCAGAGGTGCAGGCAGTGACAATGGGGGTCACGAATGGACGCGAATTGAGGTCGTAATTCTTGACCTCCTAAAATTAATTCCAGCCTCTTAGGTGGTCATATGCCGATTTTTTCTACAAGAGGACATAAAATTTTTGTTGTTTTCTTAAACATGTTTATCCTAACATTTTATCTTCAAGGATAGCCTTTCTTTTTAATGGTGATTATAGTTGTAAAATTTCATTTTTCTCCAGCATCTTTTGAGGAATTCTCATTGTCATAAGGATATAAATTCGATCTTTGAACCTATAATACTCTGTTTGATTTCATTCTGGAAAGATTTCTTGATTGATAAATTCATTATGATATTGAACAGATATGTAGATGAAATCTGACCACAAAAAAGCCTGAATTATTGTAACAAAAAAAAAGAAGGTAATTTTGAAGTGAAGGTTTTGAATTTTTTCTTCTAAAAGAGTAATGACAAGAATAATATTCATTATATTAAAAATACTAAGATTAATATATAAGAAGAATTTTAAACCAAAATATATCTAGAGAAAGGATAAATTTAATTTCCTGCTTCGTGTATAAATTTCAACAAGTACATGTATTAACTAAAAAAAGTTTGGTATATTAAGAGGAGAGAACAATTTACCTCGGACTCAATCCCAAATTCTAAAGCTCAATAAAATGTAATTACAAAATTGCATGATTGAAAGAAATTGAATCTGCCAATATAAAACATTAAATGTCGACACAAACCCGTTAGCTGCTACTGAAAATAATGTTCTTTTTATCGTTTCTGTGCGACTTCAGTCGCCATCTTAATCACATGATTTCATTTCTAATGAAGTTGATATTCCTATCATGGTGGCACGAGAACGGACCGAGTCCCCGCCCACTTTGGCGAAATATATTTCATTGGGTACCATCCCATTCTATGATACATTTTAGGTTTTGTTTATCTTTGATAGAAAGTGAAGAATTTCATATGAAGAAAAGGTAAATATATGCCTGTCAAATTTCCCAATAATTTAAAAAAAAGGTTCGTCCTACCCGCACCATCAATCTGACCAAGCTTAAAGCCATCGTTATTCATGATAAGGGTTTCGTTGTGTGGACGTGTTAATCAGGTTGTATATTTGATGCCCAGTTACACCCCATTTTCCTGCTTCATTGAACAGGTATCATACCTATATCAGGGGAAAAAAGACAGTAGGCTATTTCAGGACCCTATAACGTTCATCACGGCGATGATTCATCTCCCTCTTGTGAATAAAAAACTCCGAAAGTTATGTTTCTTAAATTGTTTGTGAACATTTAAGAATTTTTAAAAGACTGGGATCTAAATTTAACTATGGACGAAATTAGGTTAAAAACCGAGCTGTAAGAAAAATTAGAATCATGTCATCATCTAGTTCTCCAGTGGAACCCAAAGACTCAGACAAAAATGTTATTGTGGATAAATCTGATTCAGAAGAAGAAACAGAGAGAAAACATGACGATGATAACAGTGATGGGACAGAAGAAACAAATTGTTTCCAACCAACATTTCCAATCGTGCAGAGACCTATTGCAGCAACTCCAAAACGTTCCTTTCTCATCACAGACATTCTTTCCGAAGATAAATCTTCTACAAAACCTTGTTCAGCCTTCAGGCCATTGAGAGTACCGCCAGCGCTAGTGAGTACATGTAACAGCAGCTTTAGTCCCGTCAGTGCTTCTCAACATTGTCTGAACTTTTCCTCTTTAAAAAGACAGAAAAGTGAAAATAAGACATACGATGATGACGACGAGATTGATGAAGATGATGATGAAGATGACGATGACAGAAATAGCGGTCAGTGGAATTACTTTCATATAAAAATCAGTCATTATTTTATTTATTTCATAATAAATGTTTTGGATTCCATGGTTTACTTGATGGCAAGATTTAATCAAAAAAAAAAAAAAAAAAAAAAAAAAAAACCACCTCGAAGAATCTGATTTTTTGTTCAATGAAACATATTTATTCTCCAAACCGTAAGATTAAATCTGTACAAAAAGATTGTTTTTTTAACTTAAATAAGTAAGATTAAGCTGAAATTTTTGTTGGTAAAAAGCTTTACAAACTGGGTGAACTTTTGTTATGTCAAATAATATTTAAATCGAATGTTAAGTCACTTACTTAATCCATAGACAGTACACTAAATAAATTATAAATATCATTGTAATATGAGATCTATTTTTCTATTTTTTTTATTAATCAAGTATTCAATAGGATTAAACGTTTTAACAAGCGAGGAACTTTCAGAAGGAGAAAAAGATAAAATTAAATCCAAAACACTAAGAATAGGAGGATCTAGTAATAATAAAACAATTCTTTTAAACTACATTGTAACTTATTTAGCTAGAGGGAAAACATGTTTTCGGCAATCAGGAAAAAAAACACTTCTAAGTATAAAAACTGAAAGATTAAATAAAAAAGAATAAATGAGATAGCATGCTTTGTTTTATTAGATTAAAAAGTTGACAACATTAACTTGGAAACATACAAACATGATAATCATATTAGTTTTGAAAGATTTTTTTGAAAGATAACGCAATCTGTCATTCAGTCGTTGTAATAATGATTTTAATTTTGAAATACTGCTGATAACACATACGTCATTTTTAATCATATAATTTCAAATGAAGATAAAAATCATCTAAATGCAAAAATAGGTATATTTTATAAAGTTATATATAATTGTATAATTTATGGGCAGAAAACAAGAAATGTCTGAATGTCTTGTTCTGAGCTTGTGTATGTTCGCCGTGTGTGGTCGTATTAAGATGTTTCCATGTTAATATTAACAACTACTAAGCACATGTTTAGCTTTAATCAAATAAACTAATGCTTTAATTTTCAGCTCAAGTAACAACACCTTGTGTAAGGCAAGCAACGACACAAAGGCAAAATGTTTTACTATGCATATTATGAACATTTGGCTTAAGTCACCGGATATTGGTGCACATTCTTGAAATATAAGGTCAAATAGTGTGGAATTAAACAAGTTAAAATATCCAATTTAGCAGATATTAGATTGATGTATATATAAAATCAATTTATTTCATTGCTGTTTTAAAACTGAGCTTTGGAAATGTCTCTGATTTGCAAAGATTGTAAAGCCTTCTATAATTTTTGGTCGACTCTTTTTCCAATTTGCAAAAAAAGGGATATTGATATTAAAGTGGAATTACCCCTAGATGCTATGATGATGTTCCAAACGATATAACTATAATTATATCATGCCCTTGTGTACTTTAATGTTATACAATAGATGTGAAAATAACGAACAGTAATCAAGCTCAAAAGTCCAATGGAACGATATAAATTGAGAGCAGAGCAAGCACGGGCCTCTAAAAACATCAGAGGCGTGATCAGGTGCCATAGAGGAGTAAGCATCTTCTGTCAACCGGTCATGCCCGTAGCGTGCCCTTGCCATGATCGGGCAAAAGGAAAAATCCTTAGGCAATTCATTATGAAAATAAAAGCCTAACAATTTGAATGAAAACGTCATTCAGCATACGACTTACCGTATTTGCTAACAAGGTCATTGTACCGGACATAGAACTTGCGAAATGTTGATTCTAAACGCGACTGTTGAGATCCTTGCATCATTATCTTATTTGTCAAAAGCTTGCCTCTATTTAAATTTTTTTTACGTATAGTATAACATGCTCTTGCGTATCGAATCAACTGGGAGACATAAACTCCATATGCATGCAGGTCATAGTGGTATGTTGCTACATAAATAAGAGAAATTGACAATAGAAAAGCTATAGTTATCGTGTTTATCGTAAACTTTTATTGTTTTTTTTTATTTTGACTTTTTTAGTAACATCTTTCTCTGGTAAAATATCCAAATATGAAACAGATGTGTCCGACTCTGTTGTGTCTGAAAGGTTTTATTTTCAGTTCAAATGGATATATCGGATCAACGTAGATGTCAAATTAAACATTCTTAATCTTTTACCAAAAAATGTATGGGATTACGTTTCAAATCAAATGCTAGTTATATACTTATTTTTTTTTAAAAAAAATGTTTTAGCATCTCTACAATATAACTGCAAACATAACTTTACTGGATAAAATTGAAATTACGTTTGACATTTCTAGCCTTTTATACCTATTTACATGTAATAACGGAAAATATTATCATATATTGTTTTGCAAAATGTACGCATTTAACGTATTTTTGCTAGCAATAATGATAATGCATTTTCCTTTGTTTATCGTTAGTTTACTTTGTAATTGCATACTTGTTGTAATTTCCAAACTCTTATTTTTCGTAAAGGCCTTTTCGTATAACATTATCAGTCTATAAAAATGAATTTAATGAATATGAACATGCATTTTAAAGTAATGAAAGATAAATCGAACTTGAAATAATAATCAAAATACATTATTTTACAATCACCACATCTTATATTTGCTTTGGAACAATTCTTTCTAATTTTTGGACGTTTTACCTTTTTTCCAGTATTCATGGATACATGTATATTCGAAAGTAATAAAACCTTCTACTTCTTCTTTTCCAACAGAACCCAATCGAGAATCCAGTTCGTCACTGGACGATTCTTCGGGTGGAATTCTGAAACAAAAGAAGCCAAGAAAAGCAAGAACAGCCTTCACTGATCATCAACTGAACAGTCTGGAAAAAAGCTTCGAGAGACAGAAGTACCTGAGTGTTCAGGACAGAATGGAATTGGCCTCCAAGCTGAATCTGACCGATACTCAAGTCAAAACTTGGTATCAAAATAGAAGGTGTGTAATGTGTACTTAATTAGGAATTATTTAGTACTTTAAAAAAGGCAAATAATAAAAATTAAAGATTTTAGAATATGTCTTTCTATATCAAAATTATAGCCACAAATACAGCATTGTTGAGATTTAAAAAAAGATATCGTTCAGTGTACATAAAACACGTAGTTTTACTGATCAAGGATTGGGAATATGTATGCTATATGAGTAAACGTGTCATTGAAGGAATGCAAAGTAAGAAATGAACAATAATACTGCTCATGGAGAAATCACATTTCCTACTCTTTGTATTGCGTTCTTAATTAAATAAAGAAAATTCTTTGTGTATCATCTGATTTTATTTTCAGACCAAGTTAAGCACTTATTGAGCAAGAAAGTTATTTTATTAATATTCTCTTGACTTATTTATAACCCCACTTACGGTATGTTAAGAAATGCATTGAAGAAAAGTTCGCAGGGTACAATACTATAATTCTTCAATATTCCTTATGCTTGATTTATCAGGTTATTTTCTGTTTCATAAAGCAATGTAATTTGGTTGCATTTTTCTTCTTATAAGTAAGAAAATCGTCGATAACGATCCAGTGCTCCGCCGCTCACGAGTTTTACATGGCTTTTATTGAATAGGTAATTAAATAGGCACGAATAGATTCATTCTCACCAAGATTGAATTATTGAAGAAAAATATTCAATATGAAGAAAACAGCTTCTAAAATTATAAATTTGTATGGAAAAATATGCATATTATTATTCCAAAAATAGCTTTCTTTTTCCTAGAGATGTTATGGTAACCAAGATTTTTTTTTTAAATTGTACAATAAAAATATATTTTAAACACAGTAAAAATGTGTAATGTTAGGAAAGGATTTGATAAAATTTATTACTTGTATTTATCAACGTTATTTTTACATTAAATAGAATTGGTAAATATATCAAATATTAACTATTTTCTGCCTAGTGTAAAGATAGATTTATAAAACACATGTATTTAGAATATTAACAATTGACTTTTGTATATGTTGAGTGTGCATTGAATATTCCATAGTTAAGTTTTAACTCAAATGTTTGCTAAATAAATATCGAAGGAAAATTATTGAACTATGTTCTTGCAAATCACATTTTAAGTTTATTTTTATTTATATCAAAATAAAATATTAGAAATTTTAGAAATTAAAAAAAAATTATTAATGTTTGCATTCACATGTTGACAATGATGTTTTTTTTAAAATTAAAATAAGTAATTCTAAAATTCAAAAAGGTAGTCTTACTGATATAAAAAGAAATTGAAAGTAATTATATGTTTTTTTTTCATTGTTTTGGGTAATCTGTTGTATTTCTGAATTGAATATTAAAATTTTAGAACAAAATGGAAGCGACAAACGGCTGTAGGTTTAGAACTCCTGGCTGAGGCTGGGAATTTTGCTGCCGTTCAGCGCCTCATCCACACAAATCCATACTGGTTCAGCTGTCATCCGCAGGCATCCTCCATCATATCCAACATAGACGCCATGTATTACCGCCATAATGAAACGTCACTTACCCAAAGACCAACACTACCGCGCATGCTCTTACATGGTATTCAACAACATATCAATCACATGTCACCCAGTAACTCATTGTTTTCAGAGAACAGAAATTAGGAGGGATGTGATTATTTGATTGATTCAGAGTAATTTACATTTAGTATCTTTAGCTGTTCCCATGAGTTCGGCTTTACAGTTTCGCTGGCATCACACTGCTTTTTCTGTGCTGAAGCCACTTGTAGCATTTTTGACTATATTTTAAGAAATCATAATGTTACTTTATGTGGTAATGACTCTAGTTGAAAACCTGTATCATGATTGTAAATTGAATCATATGTTTTGCATTTCATGTGAAAATAAAAATATTTATATGTCGCTAAAACTCCTATTTGACTCTTTTTTTCAAATCTAAAGCAAAAATATTAAAACATTTTTAAACGTGTTGGTTATTCATTTACATGTATATCTCCCCCCTCCCGTTTAGCATGCTCAAATTTTATATTTTAGAATTATTTGAGAACAGTTCGAGTGTCATTTCCTAATTTTTGATACTAAATTAAGAATTTCCGTCCTTTCCTTAAATCTAAGAACTACGAAACATTCAAAGTAGGATGAAATTATTTCACCCGCCAGCTTCTGTTGTGAAACAGTAAACTTGTCATTTTCTTCTACGCCTAAACGATTAATAAATTTAGGCTGAGAAAAGACTGTGCATCTTCTGAAGATAGTTTCATGTTTCTACAGTATGACAGAAGGATATTTCAACATAGCAAAAGAAGCTTTTAGTCAAGGAAAAAGGCTTAGCTAGAAGGCCATTTAAACCGATACTACAACATAAATTATTTTCAACAATATTATTGTAATAGGTTTTTTGTCTTTGTAAAGATTTCACTTGTCAATATTATAAAAAGGGAATAATATTTCATATCATTATTAAAATGCAGAGTCACAGGTATTGTGTTGAGCGTCTCTGTGCAAAGCGTGTCACTTCAGCCTGATATTAATCTTATTTATTTTACTGTAATTTGCAAAAGAAGCCCTCAATGTCAAATTCATAGATAAAAAACATTTTTAAAGAAAAAAAAAGGAAATTCAACATTTGCAGGTAAATTCAACAGCATATCTTTTGATAATGGCAAAGTAAAAATATTTCTCAGACAATGCCAGGAACTGCAAACTGTTAATGTTTTAATGTAAAATATTTAAAAATATATATATAGAATTGAAATGTCCCATAGCGATCCCCTTAAGTATAATCTTCTGAAGAAATTATGCCTAATTGGAAAAGCTTCTGGTTACAATTTCATTTAAAGATCTATAACTATAAAACATATTTGCAAATACCATTTAATTTTATACAAATATGAAATTAATCTCAATTTTTGGGTTAATGATAGGGACAGCGATTCCAATAGATGCGATTAGCTGAAATCTGAACCATTTCTTTCAAAAAGCCCCGTCAAAACTACCGAACGAGATGAATTTTCAGTCATTTATCAGTAGTTTGTTGGAAGAGGTAGAAAGGTGAGGTATTTATTCGTTCAATAATATGATTCATAAAAAATCTGACTAATAACACAGCAAACCAGGCTTCTTAAATCAAGATCTGATCTCTTTTTTAAATAGGTGCACCTTGATAAGTGGTGTCGCTTTCCCACCAATAATTCCCAAAATTTGATCAAAATATTTGCATGTTTACTCATGTATATCATAGTTGTCGGAAAAGGGTTACACATATGCAGTGTCTCTAAATTATGAATAAAATGTCTAATGCTATTTTCAACAATGTCAATATGATTCTCGACAAACATGCAAATGTACAGAAAAAAGATATATCTTTTTAAAGAGGTCAATTTTCATTTTCAAGTATCATATTACAGAGATATACATCTTCTAATAAGTGTACAGATTTCTTATTACCAAACACCAAATACTTGACATTATGGAGACTGCTGAATTGTTTATGTGATGAAATGCAAACGAATTCGCAAATTTGTGGAATCACTGAGCGGTGTTGACACGTAATATCAGATTAAAAAATCCAAAGAAAAAAATATATGTTTTTGTTAAAAGAGATACGCAGTAGATTGTTTTTGGTCTCTTGCTTTACAGAAGGATTTTGTTAAACTCTTAAGAGGAACTTTGATCTTCCATTAATTGACGTTGTCATCGAAATAAGATTCATCATTGTCTTATTATTTGTTAATGTAGTATTATATTGATATTGATCTTTTTAAGAAAATAATTAAAATATAGTTTGTTTTTTTTTAAATATGTTAAATACATGGATGGAGAAAGGGATATACATGCGTCTTTCTGTTTAGTATTAAAATTATGAAACAAGGAAGACTGGCGAATGTTGAGGACATTGTACATGGAGTAACATTGTGTCTTTCAAGATCAAGAGCATAGAAATATTTTAGTACATCGCATGAAGAGTAGTTTTTCAATACTCGAACCTTATGTCAATGACAAAGGTATAAATAAAATTAAAGAGATTGAATAAAACACTGAATGTATCAGACTTATACGTGTCGGTTAAAGAAATGAAGGATAATTAAAAAGTAATTAAAAAGTACTGTGTGGTTATTAAGAACGATACTTGCAGTCTACAGGTGGAATATGCATAAAAAAGAAGTCGTTTGAAATTACGATCATGTGATCGGTACCGAAGTCTTTATCAGCATTTGAGGAAACTACAATAAAAACTTTAACAGTAGAGACAAGCATTCAGATGATGTAGTTAAATGTAGTAGAAGAGGAAACTCTCCTGACAGACAAGTAAGATACGAAGTTGGAAAAGATGTCCACACACCCACACACACATACACACACAAATGCCTCAGAACAGAATAGTATAAATGATTCGATATTTTCCAGAAGCTCCTTCTTGTACCCTCGTTCTCCCTGCTATAGACTCGTACATTTCATAATGTATTTGTACATGCACATGTGTATTAATGGATGGGCAAACAAATTAAAGGAGGCTAGACAATTCCAATTGATTTTTTTTCTTTTCACTTTGTAACACATCTAACATTGTAAATGAAAGTCATGCAATATATATAAAATATGCATATTATTTACTTTTTTAAATTCGTGTCAATAAAGTGTACATTTCCCCCAAAAATCTGTGAATATTAAATATATACATATATATCTTTTTCACTTCAGATTGATCAAGTATCAATCTTTACGTTTAACAATGAATTAACGGCTCTGGCATTTTCCCAGTAACAGTATATTTATTATCTTTATGAATCATTGCAATATACGTGAAAGTGTCAAAAAATAAACACCTCTTTTGTGAGATCGATAAGATTTACTTGGTGAAGGGTGAAGCAAATTAATACATTGATTATCAGCTCTGGCAGCTTTGATACCTATCTTTTTCAATTCATCAAGTCAACCTACCATTTTGAACGTTTACGACACTTTTTACCAGGAAGACGTATCACTTTAAAACTTGATATTTAGGGGTTTTGGACCAAAATGGTGTATTCTCCTTCGTGCTGTGTGACACCAGAGAATCCGATAGCTATCAATACATCATACGTTGTTTAAATGATTTAGTGTAATCGTTTTGATAATAATAACCTTACATATATTACAAATGGGTGCGAATGCTTGTGAGCTATTTAGGGCCATTTAACTTAAATAGGGTATTTAAGATATTAAACACTGAGCAGATGAAGCGATAAAAAGACGCCTCGAACCAATTTAAGGATAGAATGACAGATAGGGTGGAAACCAGGCGATGTGTTATAAATCTCGCTGTAATGTCAAAAAATTTAAAAAGAAAAATGTTTTATGATTTGTTTTGTGTTTTAGCTCTTATTTCAATCTTTGTCTACCGAAGTCTTATTAATTCATCTTTCAAAAGGTAGTTTATTTTCTTATTTTCTTACTAGAAATATTAACAAAATGATAATATTTGGAACTGACAATCTTGTTCTTTTTTCCATTACGACCGGACTTTTTAAAATTTCATATACAAATTATTTTGAAAACTCTGACAAGAGATTTTTCTTATTTAAATACCTTTGCATTCTGTTAACTTCTAATATGTTTCATTTATATATTATTTGATTTTTTGAAACATGTATTTTAAATCATTTTTGAAATCTTATTTTCTATTTAAATTCAAAACATTTAATTTTCATTTATATCAAATACATGTACATCTAAATTGAAATATCATAATAATCTAAATGGACCTTTCGCTTTGCATTTAAAAATATTTATTTTTGATACATAAACCTATATAAAATTGTTATAATTTTGAAAATACATTGTCGCCAAAAAGAAAGGTTGTTATTATGTTTAAACAGTAGGAGAAGGTAAAAGGTGAGAAATCAACAAAAACAAGGACATTTGTATTCATGTTTAGATAGCATATGCCAAAATGAAAAGGAAAAATAGTAGTCATTCATATTCAAATTGCTGTTTCGTGTTTTTCTTTGAATCTTTCACTGCGACTGTCATTTCTGCACAACTGATAACCCGATTTTAATGTATTTTGATTGCTGATTAACTCTTTCTGTATGGTTACTATGTAAGGTAAACAAAAGGAAATGGCAAACGTTCTTTCTCCAATCAATTTTTATTTAATTTCTTTGTAGAAATCAACTCAGATGAGCTAAAGGTCTTTCAGCAATATTTACGGTGATTGAATCGAGCAATGGGTTCTTGATTGAAATCTATAACATCTGAGATTAAAGACAATTTAGACGATGCTTGTGAATGATAAAAGTGCCAGAATATAACTAGTGAAACAATGTGCAAAATCGCTTGGAAAATACAGAAGTTTCAGTATTCTTAGAAATTCTGAAAGTTTTAATTTCTCCGAAGAGAAAGTCATTAGAATTTCTGCGCGCATACACATCTCAAAGAAGTTTGATGGTTATGATATATCAATGTCATTAATAGTCTTTTTGCTTAAACGATATATTTACTTATTTATTGAAGAAAAATAATGAAAAGCTCACTGAAAAATCATTGAAATCAGTTTCCCCTTTCTTTGTATCTTCATACCGGATGCTACCTGTGTTGAATTCAATACTTCATTTTTGTTTTTGCTCCGATGAAATATCGACATTTCCCCTAAGGCATATTTCCATTAAATTAAGATATTAAAACGACACATCAAATTCATATTTAACTCATTACTATTGAATAAATGACAGTTAGGAACAGGGTATTAATGTAATTAGCTAGTTGACGAGTCTCATAATATTTCATTGTAATTTCACTAATGTTATCATTTATCACATCAGCAGAT